AGGCTCACTTCGTGAGGTACTAAACGAAGCTCCCACACGGGGAGCTTTCGTGACAATGAAGACCCCTCGCTAGGGACTAGCTTGGGAAGATAGAAATCGACTTCCTCTGGAATATGCTGTTGGAATGGCCTTGAATCATCCCCAAGCAGTCACTGATTACTGCCTGCTCGAGCTGTGCAAACCCCAGACTGCCTTCGGAACCGAGGACTGGTTGGTACAGCACGGCATGCGCATCCACCGGGCAAGCCGTCTCAACTCATTCACAGCATTGAAGCTCCTGGGTCTGCCGGCAGTAGGGAGAAGGGAGGACATTCAAAGGCCGATCCTGCATTTAGGTCACTGCGGTGCTGAGTTGAGTATGGCTGTAATTCGTGCTGATTGACATGCACTCTGCTTTCTTGCATATAGCAGGCTGCTGATGCGAGTTGCTACTCTAGTGTACACTTTCTCGCCACCCTTCTCTGGAGGTTTACGAAGTTCTTGCCCAGGGGCTGGCTGCCACCGTTGACCTGAAGCACCACACAGGTTCGCCCCTGGCAGAGGCATGACACTGTAACATATGTGAGTGTACGGGCCTATGTCTCCATGCTGGTGCTGTCCTCTACATAAACCCTTAGGCTTATGTTGGGGTTATAAGGTACCCATTGGGGTAATATTAGGGAACATACGGGCTAGATGAGGATAATGCAATCTAAGATGGAAACTGAAGGACTGAAGCTCCGTTGCAGATGCATGGCAAGAGCCCTTGTACAAAGCCCCTTGACCCTAGCAAAGGCCTGCCTGAGTCGGGCGCACTGAACCAGTGTTGAGTGGAAGCCAGTCGATTTGGTTCTTGAAGACCCCCGTGAGGCAACCGTGCATTTCTGGGCTCACCCACACATGGCCCTCGGACCACTTTGATAAGTTTCGCAGCTCCTGCACCTTTGGGTGGTCCTCCAGAGAGGGGTCCCGCACCTCAAGCTGTCTGCATGCAAGCTCTGGAAGTAGTAGGTTGCCTTTTACCTTTCGCTGGCAAATCTCAAAATGATGTTTGCTGCCGCCAGTTGCACCGGGAGGCCCATCGGATTGAATGTTCGCACCTCTGCACCCAGCACCTCCACTGAGAGGTTCCACATTGAAGATCTATTGGACAGGGCGACTTTGTGAGGAGGCCATCTATTCTTTCTTTGTGTCATTGCTCCTCACCCGTCCTTATACTGGCACCCTGTGCTATGAAAAGATGCAACTAGGGCAGGATGGCAGACAGGTGCCAGCACGACTTCGAAGCCTTTTATGGTGAGCAGACTTTGACATGACCTAAGTAGCAACCCAGACATCACAAATCAATACTTTACCGCAACTCTACCATGGCCTCATAACCGACGGAATGCGATTCCAACTCGAGCAAGTTGTTGCCTCTAAGAATAACAACTGGCAACCTCCATGACCGCGCCGGCATCCTTCTGCTCTTTGTACAAAGCTTCCATGATGGAAATGTACCCCTTTTGTTGGGCCGCATATGAAGAAAATGGACGGACGTCATCTAGCCATAAACTCTGCATAGAACGACAATGCTGATTTGGGCTCCGTAAATACGGTGATCAAAATCTAGTCCCCGATTTCCCAAAACTCCTCATTATTTGGACACCCACAAGGGTACCCCTAATTCTCGGAAAGCCTTATCCTTTCATAGCGCAATATAATCCAGTTTCGATCTCATCTCCCATTATTGTTGAAACATCCTTAATCCAGTATAACCACTACTTTTCTTACATAACCCCATATTTCCCCAAAATAAATGACTCTATAATGTGATCCTAAGCCCTACATCCTAAATATAGCGCTAATCTAACCCCGGAGAACCTCGAGGAGCCGGGAGCACTCATGGGCCATCTTGCCTGGGTGAGGTTTCCCAAAACAGTGGGACCCTATATCGTTTAAGGTGTTTCTTGATGTTGTTGTTGTTCTTTGTTTTTTTTTTTGGGGGGAGGGGGGGGGTGGGTGGGTGGGGGTAGACCGTAGTTTAGGGTTTAGGAATTTAAAGTTTTGCCATAGGATACTCCTCGATCCTGCAGGCCGCAAGTCCATACAATACAGAATCCTGGCATGAGGCAGGGACTGCCAGACACTTACCCATGCGACCTAGGGCTGCTGCGCTCTGAGTTGGAACTGCTGAATGGGATGTTGAGCAGACATCTTATTGGTTCTTGGCTTGTCTCTGAAGAGCGACTTTGGTGAATTGTCGCAAAGGTCACAGTCCCTAGTCAAATGGTAAAGCTGCTGCACGCCTGACCACGATTTCCTCCATGAAGGAAGTCTTGCACCACCTTGATATGGGACCATCCAGGACACAAGGACATCCTTTGGGTTATGTATTGATAAAGTGCATACTTCAAAGCATCAATTGCCCAGCAACCTGGAAGACAGAATCATACAGAATCCAAACGCTATCCTGAAATGCCTTCATACTCAGAAGGAGCAAGCCGGGCGACGTGAGAAGGAAGTTGGCCGTAGGGATCCGTAAAGGACCAGGATCCTGCTGCCAAGTAGCCATCAATTCTGCTACCACAAGACACAGATTAAAGTGTCCCGTGCCCGAGGCCTCATTCTTGTGCAGGACAGGAATATGGTGGGGCACCAGGCTTCACGATAAAACGAGAACCCCAATCCAGCAGTCAGAACATCTGAGGATTCTTGTTGGTGTCAGGCCAGGTGCCAAAAGGTAGCTTTAAAAAAAAGAGCCCCACGCACCATTCCTCGCGACAAAGGTTTGTATGAAGCTCCCGCCGTATGCCGACTAGAACACCATTGCTGGGGTTGGGCCACCAGGCTTGCTAGGTAAGGATCACACCGGAATGATGGAGATGGTCTGAACCATGGTCTGTACAATTGTATACCACTTGAATCAAGAGAGCACGGGCAGGTTCCAAATGTAACAAAAAAAGGTCCCGCTGTACATCCCAAGATATCAAAGCGGGCTCAGTGTCAGAGACAAGGGACGACAACTTGAGAACTTCGTAACCCAAAGAACATGAGGATCCTCCGAAGAACACGGACCAGACTTAAGAAAGTCACATCTCCAGCTCCTGGGTCGATGGGTCAACCTGGCACCAGGCACCTCAGACGGTTTGGGGTGTAGATTTGTTCGATATCATCGCCCCTGTGCATATATCTCGGAACAATAGCATCCATGTCGTACCGGACTGCAACAAAGGATGCATGATGTTGGTCGAGCCACTTCTGAGAGGTGGTGATTTGAAAAACTAATCTTGTTCGGCTATGGCGGTCTTCGGGTTTGCATTTTGGGGGACATGAGATGACAAGACAAGTTTCCGCTGGTCTTACATGTCGCGCTTAGCCATCACACGCCCCTCACTCTCAAAGATGAGGGGTTCCTACCACTAGTCAGGCGTCTATGTCAGAGCTTCCGAGGAAAAGTTGCCCCGAAATCCACCACACAACCGCCAGGTGATTATGGAGAAACTTCTTGGCCTGGCTTGGGGCCTGAGATGTAGGTAACCTTGAACACAACTCAGGTTCAGGGTTTAGGAGAAAGACACTTGGAGCTTTGACTCCAAGGGGCCTGGAATGCAGCAGAAGAAGCAATGTTGGCCAACTGCGTGCCATCGGGGTCTGAGAAGACCTTGCCAGCGGCACGAAGCACATCCAAGTTTCCAGCTTCCATCTCGGAATTGCCAAAGCACCCGCTGATTTGATGTGGTTGGTTAGTGTGTTGAAAGGAGACTGGCTTCACCGTAACAGGCCTGCCTCTGTGATCCAGTCCTGTCCAGGACCACTGCCTCGGACGTCTTTCCTCAAGATTCAAGTGATGCAAGTTCTGTGCTCATAGATATAACGCCAATAGAACCCCAACATAATCCCTAGTCCTGTGCTCATTCATATAACCCCAGTATAACCCCTATATAAACCCTAT